GGTTAAACGTGTTCAAACATCAAGAGCAAGTAAATAAGAATACAAATGAATGATTGTTTTATTCATCGTCAATGACACGCGCATGCGCAGTCTAGTGTTTTTCCCTCCGTGGCTTGGACCCTTGTCTGACGTAACACCCATATGTCGGTTACACGTTTTGTCACTCCTGGTGCCCCCCCCCCCCCCACCACCCCCCACCCATTCCAGCTGCCACCCCACACCCTCACCAAGTTCGGCAATAAACACAGGCATCAGGGACGTTATCTTTAAATATTTGGAGAATTCTCATCCCACTCCCACCCCACTCTAATCCCACTCCCACCCCACTCTCATCCCACTACCACCCCACTCTAATCCCACTCCCACCCCACTCTCATCCCACTACCACCCCACTCTCATCCCACTCCCACCCCACTCTCATCCCACTCCCACCCCACTCCGACCCCACTCTCATCCCACTCCCACCCCACTACCACCCCACTCTCATCCCACTCCGACCCCACTCTCATCCCACTCCGACCCCACTCTCATCCCACTCCCACCCCACTCTCATCCCACTCCCACCCCACTCTCATCCCACTCCAACCCCACTCTCATCCCACTCCGACCCCACTCTCATCCCACTCCCACCCCACTCCCACCCCACTCCGACCCCACTCTCATCCCACTCCCACCCAACTCCCACCCCACTCCCACCCCACTCCCACCCCACTCTAATCCCACTCCCACCCCACTCCCACCCCACTCCCACCCCACTCCCACCCCACTCTCATCCCACTCCCACCCCACTCCCATCTCAAATTTATCCCATACTTTTCTCATTCCCTACCATGACATCCAAAGATGTACAAAATGTACACATCAGATATGTGTACAGGAGATTTTACACCAATGTTTTATATGTCTATGTACACATTTAGAATGGTCTACACCTGACCTACGAACCAAGTATGTCGATACTCGCACAGGGTTCGTCAAAGACGACCCCATTTCACTATACACCCCGAACCCCCATCCATCACAACCCCCGTCTCTCTCAAAAATCCCAACCCACATTTCTCTAAACATCCCAACCCCCCATCCTTCTTAACATCCCAACCCCCGTCTCTCTAAACATCCCAACCCCCATTTCTCTATAAAAAAACCAACCCCCATTTATCTAAAAATCACAACCCCCATTTCTCTAAACATGCCAACCGCCATTTATCTAAAAATCACAACCCCCATTTCTCTAAACATCCCAACCCCCATTTCTCTAAACATCCCAACCCCCATTTCTCTAAACATCCCAACCCCCATTTCTCTATAAAAAAACCAACCCCCATTTATCTAAAAATCACAACCCCCATTTCTCTAAACATGCCAACCCCCATTTCTCTAAAAATCCCAACCCCCATTCTTGTAAACATCACAACCCCCATTTCTCTATAAAAAAAAAACCAACCCTCATTTCAGTAAAAAACACAACCGTTTCTCTAAAAATCACATTCCCATCTCTCTTAACATCACAACCCCATGTCTGCATATATGTCGACCCCCATCTCCCTCAACATCCCGACCCCCATTTCTCTTAACATCACAACCCCATGTCTGCATATATGTCGACCACCATCTCCCCCAACATCCCGACCCCCATTTCTCTTAACATCCCGACCCCCATGTCTGTATATATGAGGACCCCCACCTCCCTCAACATCCCGACCCCCATTTCTCTTAACATCCCGACCCCCATGTCTGTATATATGTCGACCCCCATCTCCCCCAACATCCCGACCCCCATGTCTGTATATATGTCGACCCCCATCTCCCCCAACATCCCGACCCCCATGTCTGTATATATGTCGACCCCCACCTCCCTCAACATCCCGACCCCCATGTCTACACACAACACGTGCGGGTGAGCAGCTAGCCAGGGATGAGGTAAGCTGTTTTACCTTTCCGTTGCCTCTTTTGTCATCTCGCCGCACCCTGACCCATTTCTTGCTGGCCCGACCTCCCCCCTCCCTGCCTCCCCCCCCCCTCCCCGCGGTGCCATCGTGTCAGGTCCGTCATGTTTTAAGCCCACCTCTCTTCCTGTTGCCACCTTCGATTTTCCTCTTCAAGTACACCTTTAAGCAGCAACTCCAAAATCAACCTACTGATGAGGGGTGGGGGAGAGGAGTGGGGGTAGGGGGGGTGGAGTGGGGGAGACTGGCATACACCTTTCACGTGTGCTGCTCTCAGAGAGGAAAAAAAAGATGATTTCAGTTTTTAGCATATTAGTTCCAGAGTGGAAAAAAAAAACACAGCGCCGGGTAATTTTAGACTGTTGGTTTCCCCTGGGGACCACGGGGACACGTGGGGACGGGAGGGGACAGGAGGGGACGGGGGGGGGGGGGGGGGGACGGGAGTGAGAGAAGGTAGAAATATTGACAGGTTGGAGAACATACAAGGGCTCGGATGGGATGCGCGCGCACACCTTAATAAATACGGTAGCAGGCATTCAAATAATTTTTTTTTTCATCGTAACCTCAAGAAAATGTCTTGGACCAGTCAAGGAGTTAATTTTTTTTGGATACACGCGAGAGGTAATTTTAAAAAATGGGGGGGGGGGGCTATGTGATAAAGTGGGAAAAGAGTGGGGGGGAATGTTTGTTTTAATTTTTAAATGAAGGCTAACTGGAAATGTAAAACTAGAAACAAACGAAAGAAAAGATGAAAGGGGACCTAACTACCACCGGCACAAAGAATGCATTGATGGTGCAAGGCACCACGGTGTGGAGCCCGGTAAAAAGGGGAACTAACCGCGTGAGTTGTGTCTGTGTGCGCGGGTTGTCCTCCCTGCTAGACAAGACGAGTGGACCGCGTATTGACGGCGACAGGACAGGTAGAAAAACGCCACGTATTTTAAAGACTTGGCGGGGTTTTGAGTTTTAGTAATAAATCGAGCAAGGGCCGAGAACTCATAACGTACAACGGGAGGGTGAGTAGCTTCCCTTGCTGTCACCCATCAGGCTCTCTGTTCTTCTACTTCCAGCCATCAAGCGAACCCAATCGCTTGAAAAAAAAAATTTAACTTAAAAATTTGAAACAAAACACAATTCAGAAATAAAAAGGTTTTTGTTTATATTTTCAATTTCACCCAGCCGAGTAAATTATGATCCAATGTTGTCATGCTTTGTTCCTGTACCCATCACCCCCACCCCCACACATACACCCGCTCCAAGAAAATCGTGAGCACTTAGATGTGTTTGTCTACAACTTGAGTCATGCGTCGTGCGCCGAAATCTATCGGAGCAGCGAGTGCACGTTTTAATGGTGAGTACATCGATGTTTGTTGACAGTGGGGTACCATGTGGTACACTGTCACGTGATTTGATACACCCCACACCACACACACACACACACGTGGGAGGAGTGAGAGGCTGACCATACAACAAAGACAGCCTCATGGTTGTCAGGGTTGGCCCGTGATGTTAGCTCGGCAGCTTGATTTTTTATTCTTAGGGTCAGGGATCAAATATCGCTGAGACGGGGGACAAAAACATTGTCAGAATTAAAGCTGAACTGGTAGTTTCAGCTAAACAATGGGCTGTCAGTGTTTAAGGTCCAGGTATGGGCTGTCAGTTTTTTTAGACCGAGGTATAGACTGTCAGTGTTTTAAATCAAGGTATAGATTGGCAATGTTTTAAGCTAAAGTAACAAGCCAATATTTTACTAGCAATATGCTTAAATAGTTATTCATGCTACTTACAAACAATCACTCTAGTTCTTTGATACACAATCAGGTAAGTCAGACACACTATTACTCTAGTTCTTTCATACACAATCATTAGTTAGACACACAATCATTTATGTTAGTCAGACGCACAATTTTTCATGTTAGACGCACAATCATTCATGTTAGTTAAACACACAATCATTATTGTTAGTCAGACACACAATTATTAGTGTTAGTCAGACACACAATCATCAATGTTAGTCAGACACACAATCATTCATGTTAGTCAGACGCACAATCATTCATGTTAGTTAGACACACAATCATTATTGTTAGTCAGACACACAATCATTAGTGTTAGTCAGACACACAATCATCAATGTTAGTCAGACACACAATCATTCATGTTAGTCAGACGCACAATCATTCATGTTAGTTAGACACACAATCATTAGTGTTAGTCAGACACACAACCATCAATGTTAGTCAGACACACAATCATTAGTGTTGGTCAGACACACAATCATTCATGTTAGTCAGACACACAATCATTCATGTTAGTTAAACACACAATCATTCATTTTAGTTAGACACACAATCATTCATGTTAGTTAGACACACAATCATTAGTGTTAGTCAGACATACAATCATTCATTTTAGTTAGACACACAATCATTCATGTTAGTTAGACACACAATCATTAGTGTTCGTCAGACACACAATCATTCATGTTAGTCAGACACACAATCATTCATGTTAGTCAGACGCACAATCATTCATGTTAGTTAGACACACAATCATTAGTGTTCGTCAGACACACAATCTCCAGTATTGACTTTCAATCTGTCAACAATCCTGTCATACATCTGACGGTGGAGAAAAAAAAAACCGCTGGACCAAAAGCTGACGACGAAGACCCAAGAGAGAGAACTTTAGTGCTTCCCTCAAAACTTGCAGAGTTTTTACCCCTGTTGCTAGGAGATAGTATGGCGGCTCGGGTGGGGTGTGGGGGGAGTAGATGGCAAATAAAACATTACTAGGAGAGGGAAGGCGAGGAGGGGTAAATTAGCGTGATTGTAGGGATAGGGGGTAAATTAGCATTATCATTAGAGCGGGTGGGTGGGGGTGGGGGCTTGTTTAGAGAGAATAAGCGTACCAGCAAAAACACAAGTAGGTAACCTGATTCACGTGGGAGACAATGGGTTTCCATTTGACTACTTTAGATTGGTAGTACACAGAGGATTGAGTGGGGGGGGGGGGGGGGTGCTACTGATCTGTGTCATTAAAACAAAAGCTTACCTGGGCTGGCGTCGGCGGTGCTGTTGGCGGTGGTGCTGTTGATGATGGCGCTGTTGATGATGGTGTTGATGATGGCTGCGGTGGTAGTGGTGGTGGTGGTGGATGCCGTGGCCACGGGGTCTGGCGTCATCTCCTTCTCCTCTGGCACCTCAGCTCTCCCTTCCTCTCTCAGAGACGGCGACTCTCTGCTCATGATACTCTCACTGGAGACACTCTCCTGCAAGAGAAGGTCAAGGGTTAGGTCAAAGGTAAGGTCATGTACAAGTAAGTCAAAGATTGGACAATGACCATGCAGATATCAGCCGGGCGCCCATTCCCCACCCCCTACCATCCTATAGGTGTAAAGTGTGAGACATTCTGTCCTCGAATCTAGGGACCAAGCGGCAGTTCTAGATTTTATAGGGTGGGTTAGTTCCAGGCTAGTTAAAAGTTAACGAGATAAAAGGTGACATTATTAACACATTCTTTACACTGCCAATGGTGAACACTGATGTATTAACATCATGATGTATTGTTGTGTGGGAACATCGTGATGTATTGAGTGGGAACATCGTGATGTATTGGGTGGGAACATCGTGATATATTGTTGGGTGGGAACATCGTGATGTATTGGGCGGGAACATCGTGATGTATTGGGTGGGAACATCGTGATGTATTGGGTGGAAAAATCATCATGCCATGACTATATGATGTTGTATTGGCCATCTTGTACAAGATTTAGCCGTTAAGATCGAGGTGATGTTGTATTGGCCATCTTGTAGCTGATTTAGCCGTTAAGATCGAGGTGATGTTGTATTAGCCATCTTGTAGCTGATTTAGCCGTTAAGATCGAGGTGATGTTGTACTGGCCATCTTGTAGCTGATTTAGCCGTTAAGATCGAGGTGATGTTGTATTGGCCATCTTGTCGCTGATTTAGCCGTTAAGATCGAGGTGATGTTGTATTGGCCATCTTGTAGCTGATTTAACCGTTAAGATCGAGGTGATGTTGTACTGGCCATCTTGTAGCTGATTTAGCCGTTAAGATCGAGGTGATGTTGGACACCCGCAGGTTAAGTGGGGCCACTGTGGAGGGGTGGGGGAGGGGTCTGGGAGGGGGGAGGAGTGTGCTCCTGGCCACTAGGGGTTGTATTGACTTGGAGACTAATCGGCTTTTAGAACCTCCTAAGGCGATTGTGTCCAGAGGTGACCCGCGCTTAGACGCAGGACATCAATGTTGGGGGGTGGGGGTGGGGGACAGCTGACCAGGGCCATTAATCGTGCGGGGTGCGGGGCAGGTAGTGTGAGTACAGTGGGGGGGGGGGCACTGCTCACGCTGGGCTGTAGGAAGGGATTTTATAAAAAGGGGAGACAAATCTCACAGCAGTGGAGCTACGCATTAGGGCTTTAAACAGGAGTTTTTTTTTCAATGATTTAATGAGGGTATATGTCGGTTAGCCATACTATAAAATCATAAAGTACTTATTAAATGTGGACAGGACGTGGGTATATTTTGCTAGCCACTCTTCTCTGACTTAGTCTTAACTCTAATCCTGACCTGTATCATTGACCCTAATGGCGATACTGATAGCAACCAAAACGTCTATACGATACTGTATTGTCCTGTCGATATTTAGACGGTTAATATTGCGATACTCTTGACCCAACCATTAGCATTACAGTATCGTTATCGCCACGGTATTCACATGCGATTCGATACAGTACAGCTAAGAGTGAAACAAAAAAAAAGAAAAACAACTTCCATAAAACAGACTAGCCGTTACCAGTCCCTCTTTCCCCCCCCCCCCCCCCAATATGTCTTCAGATAAAGATCTTATCGTTGGTGTTAAACGGCTTATCAATTCTTGTTCTTGTCAAAGGAATTAACCGTTATTTAGCCCCCAACTGGAAGCGAGTAAGATTATTAAAAGTTTAGCCGAGCCGCAGCAAACAGCGACCGGGGCTTAATGGTAGCCTGGGTCTGAGTTCCATCAGGACCTGGTCACAACAATAGACCCATAATCATGTGACCCGTCTTTTATAGAAGACTGGACCTAATCACAACAATAGACCCATGATCATGTGACCCGTCTTTTTATACCGGACCTAATCATTAAAATAGACCCATGATCATGTGACCAGTCTTTTTATACCGGACCTAATCATTAAAATCGACCCATGATCATGTGACCCGTCTTTTTATAGAAGACTGGACCTAATCACCACAATAGAACCATGTCCATGTGACCCGTCTTTTATAGGAGACTGGACCTAACCACCACAATAGACCCATGGTCATGTGACCCGTCTTTTATAGAAGACTGGACCTAATCACCACAATAGACCCATGTTCATGTGACCTGTCTTTTATAGGAGACTGTACCTAATCACCACATTAGACCCATGTCCATGTGACCCGTCTTTTATAGAAGACTGGACCTAATCACCACAATAGACCCATGTCCATGTGACCCGTCTTTTATAGAAGACTGGACCTAATCACAACAATAGACCCATGTCCATGTGACCCGTCTTTTATAGGAGACTGAACCTAATCACCACAATAGACCCATGTCCATGTGACCCGTCTTTTATAAAACACCGGACCTAATCACCACAATAGACCCATGTTCATGTGACCCGTCTTTTATAGAAGACTGGACCTAACCACCACAATAGACCCATGGTCATGTGACCCGTCTTTTATAGAAGACTGGACCTAATCACAACAATAGACCCATGTCCATGTGACCCGTCTTTTATAGAAGACTGGACCTAATCACCACAATAGACCCATGTCCATGTGACCCGTCTTTTATAGAAGACTGGACCTAATCACAACAATAGACCCATGTCCATGTGACCCGTCTTTTATAGGAGACTGGACCTAATCACAACAATAGACCCATGGTCATGTGACCCGTCTTTTATAGGAGACTTAACCTAATCACAACAATAGACCCATGATCATGTGACCCGTCTTTTATAAAACACAGGACCTAATCACAACAATAGACCCATGGTCATGTGACCCGTCTTTTATAGAACACGCATCTGTAAATAGTAGCTAGCAAAGTCATTTTAATATAAACCCTTAAACTGGTTCTAATATTAACGCCGACAGGAAAAAAAAACACTATCGTTTTCTTTTCTGTCGGTATCGCTGATTAAGATTAGGTTTATGGATACTTACGATTCAGCTTAGATCAATTTTAGGATTAGGGCTAGAGTTAGGATCAGGTGATTGTTTCGATAAAGTGTATCGCACTACTTAGCCTAACCCACAATCATACACAGAATATCGTAAGTGTAGCGCACAGCTTCGTTGGGCAATTGGAATCGAATCGCTAGTTTCTCAGTAGCAACCCTAATCCTAACCCTAAATCGTGCAATAAAGAATAGGAACAGACTCAATAGAGAATCACGACTCATCATAATAGCATGGTGGTAAAGGCTAATGAATAAGAACCACGCCCTGATAAGCCCCCCCCCCCCTATCCCCCACCCCAAATGAACTTCTCCATTTGCAGAACTTAACTACAACTACACAGGTCACTTTAAAATTAAACTTCATGCGACCGTTGATTGATTCCCAAAGCAATATTAATCACAGCCATTATCAGTAATCGGAACTTGAAGGATCGCCGGTAAGAAGTATCGAATGTAATTTTTTTTTTGCTTGCATCGATACTCTCAGCCCTTTTTATCCTTGGGTGGTAATATCTCAGTAGTTTAACTTTAATCGTTAAATATAAATACTAGACTAGATCTAAGTCTAGATCTAGATCTATCTGCATTTTAAACAAATGAGACTGACAAAGCTAGTAGAAAACATCAGTACAATTATATTAATTATACCCCAATTCAGCGAACGGAGTAAGTATTCTATTTGTCGGCTACTTACAGAAATCAGTAACTGCTGTGAAACAAGACACCTATGTAAATTATCATTTAGACAAACTTGCGCTCTGATTTTGTAGGAACTGTTGGATTTCTTTGTCAGGCATCCGGTTACAATGGGGACATCCATGTGCGCAGTTGTGCTTTCTGGTGCGCATGCTATGGTGTGCATGCGGTAGGCTAAACTTACAACTGGAACTCAGATGCTAAAACTAGCAAAGTGTCTTTGCGAGACATCAACATTTTATTACAACGATTATATTTTAATCCAATTTATTATTTGAAATACACATATCAAGAATGTGTATCGCATGTTGTGTTTTAAATAGCAATGATGCATCATGTGTAGTGTAACTTGTGTTGGTCAAACGTAGGCAGTAGTAATAGTTTCAATAGATCAAACAATAGGCTTGAAAAGCTGGTTCCAAATTTTTGTTGCCAGAAAGCATATTTTCCAACCAAAATTCAATATTTGTGTATTAAGTACAAAATCACTTCCGGTTTTATTAAGGCTAGAAATAGTCAAACAAATAATTACTAGTAATATAATAGTAATTTAGCAAACACTTTTATTTTTAATCTAAATTTATAGAGTAATGGTGTTGTGATGAAAGGGGATGTTATAATATTATTTAATATAAATACAATACTCGGCTATACATCATAGATCACTATTGGGTATTTTACTATGGAAAATAATTGTTCTGACTTGCAGTGTTTTACTCTCCCTGGCCATTCCGGCTGACTCCAAAAAGAGGTTGAGGGCATTTTGAATTGATAAAGTAATTCTAAACGGCTTTTCAACGGCTTATATTCAATACAAAAATATAAAAATGAGTGTAATCGATGTTTTTCAAACAGCTTTAAGTTTTTTAAAATGTAATTATAATTTTATCGCTTTGCATATTTTTAAAAATATTTTTTTAAAAACTTTAGTATGATTAACTGTGTTTTTAAGACTATTATAATCTCCTTATAATAATTTTTTTTCAACGTGTAGTTGAAGTTTTTGTTTTATAGTTTATGTTATGTTGTTCTTTCTAAAAAAAACATCAGTGGTTGTTTTATACTTTTTTTTTAAACTTAAGATAAATAACATATTTTTAGTTGTTTAACCGTCAGATATATTTTACTAAAGAAAAATAGCAGATCCGAATTCAAGCAAACTTCAGCTAACTTGACATGTTAGACAAAGTTGTCCAGAATAGAGGAAGGCCGTTGGTCAATGGTGGGCCACGGTGGGCCACAGCGGGCCATGAACAGGTCCGTCTCAAGTGGCTCAGCCCTTTTCACACAAGACTAGGGGCTCTGCGGCCCTCCATGTTGACCATTAAGGAATT